AAGTGGTAAGAAGTAAAAAAGAAGAAAGATTCTGTAGATATTAAACACAATTAAGACTATGAGGTAGAATGGTCACTGAATACAACAGTGACATTCAAAAGTAGTTGGGGTATTGGAAATTTTTGGGGGGGAACAAAATTTATGGCAGTATAACACTAATGGTGGACAGGGGGTATTATCTGCACCTTACTCTGATTCTGTTAGTCCAACCTCACTTAGGAAAGTTTTAAGATAAGATAAGATAAGATTTCGTTTGGATTTTTAACCCCGGAGGGTTAGCCACCCAGGATAACCCAAGAAAGTCAGTGCGTCATCGAGGACTGTCTAACTTATTTCCATTGGGGTCCTTAATCTTGTCCCCCAGGATGCGACCCACACCAGTCGACTAACACCCAGGTACTTATTTGCTGCTAGGTGAACAGGACAACAGGTGTAAGGAAACGTGTCGAAATGTTTCCACCCGCCGGGAATCGAACCCGGGCCCTCCGTGTGTGAAGCGGGAGCTTTAACCACCAAGCCACCGGGTGGCCTGTGGGCTGTTTCCTAACTGCGATTTTTCCATCCCTCACAAAGCACTGGTGGATTTTTTGGGCATAGCATACTTTTCTTAAGTGATAAAGGAGTTTTTGTCTTTTTTGGTAAGGCATCATTGACACAAACATCAGTTTTCATAGAAACGGATGTTTTTAGTAGGTTGTTTCTTTGTAGGCTAGTTTGGAATTTTAACAGAACTTTTTTTTACCCATTTGGTAGCCCATCATTTTGTAATCCTTTAGGTCATCACAATGTATGTTAAGGCGAAGGTGGTCCTTGATAAGCTGTAGGGTGGTCTCCATGCAATTCTCTTGGGTGACTGTGGCTGGGAGATGTTTGCTGTTAACTACAACAGCGTCAGATAGCTGTTGTTGCTCATTATGGTCTTGGAAGTTGGTTATGACATTGGCAAGTTGTTGGTCCACTCTTGATCTTTCCTCAATAATGTTGGTAGTAAGTAGGGTGACTTGGTCTTTTAGAGTGTTGATGGTGTCTAGGGACCGGGTGTGGGTGTTGCTTTGTTGTTCCAGAGTGTCTAGTTTATGTTCTAGAGCAGTGATCTTGCTGAGGTACTGTGCAATGGAAGCTTTTAGAGAATGATTTTCATGTGCAAGTTCAGTACTAGTCCCTCTAGGATTTTCCAGGTGTATATAATCATGTATCTCTCCCGCCTGCATTCCAGGGAATACAGGTTCTGGAACCTCAAGTGCTCCCAGTAATTTAGGTGCTTTATCTCCGTTATGCGCACCGTGAAGGTTCTCTGTACATTTTCTAGGTCAGGAATTTCACCTGCCTTGAAAGGTGCTGTTAGTGTGCAGCAATATTCCAGCCTAACAGCTCACACACACTCAACACCTCAGCACCTAACACCTCACACACTCAACACCTGAGCATCTAACACCTCACACACTCAACACCTGAGCATCTAACACCTCAACACTCAACACCTGAGCATCTAACACTCACACACTCAACACCTGAGCATCTAAACACCTCACAACACTCAACACCTGAGCATCTAACACCTCACACACTCAACACCTGAGCATCTAACACCTCACACACTCAACACCTGAGCATCTAACACCTCACACACTCAACACATCAGCATCTAACACTGCACACACTCAACACCTGAGCATCTAACACCTCACACACTCAACACCTGAGCATCTAACACCTCACACACCAACACCTCAGCATCTAACACCTCACACACTCAACACCTCAGCATCTAACACCTCACACACTCAACCCTGAGCATCTAACACCTACACACTCAACACCTGAGCATCTAACACCTCACACACTCAACACCTGAGCATCTAACACCTCACACACTCAACACCTGAGCATCTAACACCTCACACACTCAACACCTCAGCATCTAACACCTCACACACTCAACACCTGAGCATCTAACACCTCACACACACAACACATGAGCATCTAACACCTCACACACTCAACAACTCAGTATTCTAACACTTCACACACTCAACACCTCAGCATCTAACACCTCACACACTCAACACCTGAGCATCTAACACCTCACACACTCAACACATGAGCATCTAACACCTCACACACTCAACACCTGAGCATCTAACACCTCACACACTCAACACCTGAGCATCTAACACCTCACACACTCAACACCTGAGCATCTAACAACCTCACACACTCAACACATCAGCATCTAACACCGCACACACTCAACACCTGAGATCTAACACCTCACACACTCAACACCTGAGCATCTAACACCTCACACACTCAACACCTGAGCATCTAACACCTCACACACTCAACACCTGAGCATCTAACACCTCACACACTCAACACCTCAGCATCTAACACCTCACACACTCAACACCTAAACATCTAACACCTACACACTCAACACCTGAGCATCTAAACACCTCACACACTCAACACCTGAGCATCTAACACCTCACACACTCAACACCTGAGCATCTAACACCTCACACACTCTACACCTCAGCATCTAACACCTCACACACTCAACACCTGAGCATCTAACACCTCACAACACACAACACATGAGCATCTAACACCCTCACACACTCAACAAATCAGTATCTAACACCTCACACACTCAACACCTCAGCATCTAACACCTCACACACTCAACACCTGAGCATCTAACACCTCACACACTCAACACATGACATCTAACACCTCACACACTAAACACCTGAGCATCTAACACCTCACACCATCAACACCTGAGCATCTAACACCTCACACACTCAACACCTGAGCATCTAACACCTCACACACTCACACCTGAGCATCTAACACCTCACACACTCAACACCTGAGCATCTAACACCTCACACACTCAACACCTGAGCATCTAACACTCACACACTCAACACCTCAGCATCTAACACCTCACACACTCAACACCTGAGCATCTAACACCTCACACAACTCAACACCTGAGCATCTAACACCTCACACACTCAACACCTGATGCATCTAACACCTCACACACTCAACACCTGAGCATCTAACACCTCACACACTCAACACCTCAGCATCTAACACCTCACACACTCAACACCTGAGCATCTAACACCTCACACACTCAACACCTGAGCATCTAACACCTCACACACTCAACACCTGAGCATCTAACACCTCACACACTCAACACCTCAGCATCTAACACCTCACACACTCAACACTGAGCATCTAACACCTCACACACTCAACACCTGAGCATCTAACACCTCACACACTCAACACCTCAGCATCTAACACCTCACACACCAAACACCTGAGCATCTAACACCTCACACACTCAACACCTGAGCATCTAACACCTCACACACTCAATCACCTGAGCATCTAACACCTCACACACTCAACACCTGAGCATCTAACACCTCACACACTCAACACCTGAGCATCTAACACCTCACACACTCAACACCTGAGCATCTAACACCTCACACACTCAATACCTGAGCATCTAACACCTCACACACTCAACACCTGAGCATCTAACACCTCACACACACAACACCTGAGCATCTAACACCTCACACACACAACACCTGAGCATCTAACACCTCACACACTCAACACCTGAGCATCTAACACCTCCACACACTCAACACCTGAGCATCTAACACCTCACACACCAACACCTGAGCATCTAACACCTCACACACTCAACACCTGAGCATCTAACACCTCACACCTCAACACCTGAGCATCTAACACCTCACACACTCAAACACCTGAGCATCTAACACCTCACACACTCAACACCTGGGCATCTTAACACCTCACACACTCAACACCTGAGCATCTAACACCTCACAACACTCAACACCTGAGCATCTAACACCTAAACACACACACACCTGAGCATCTAACACCTCACACACACAACACCTGAGCATCTAACACCTCACACACTCAACACCTGAGCATATAACACCTAACACACACAACACCTGAGCATCTAACACCTCACACACTCAACACCTGAGCATCTAACACCTCACACACACAACACCTGAGCATCTAACACCTCACACACTCAACACCTGAGCATCTAACACCTCACACACACAAACACCTGAGCATCTAACACCTCACACACTCAACACCTCAGCATCTAACACCTCACACACACACACCTGAGCATCTAACACCTCACACACTCAACACCTGAGCATCTAACACCTCACACACTCAACACCTGAGCATCTAACACCTCACACACTCAACAACCTGAGCATCTAACACCTCACACTCAACACCTGAGCATCTAACACCTCACACACTCAACATCTGAGCATCTAACACCTCACACACACAACACCTGAGCATCTAACACCTCACACACTCAACACCTGAGCATCTAACACCTCACACTCAACACCTGAGCATCTAACACCTCACACACTCAACACCTGAGCATCTAACACCTCACACACACAACACCTGAGCATCTAACACCTCACACACTCAAACCCTGAGCATCTAACACCTCACACACTCAACACCTGAGCATCTAACACCTCACACACTCAACACCTCAGCAGCTAACACCTCACACACTCAACACCTGAGCATCTAACACCTCACACACTCAACACCTGAGCATCTAACACCTCACACACACAACACCTGAGCATCTAACACCTCACACACTCAACACCTGAGCATCTAACACCTCACACACTCAACACCTCAGCACCTAACACCTTACACACTCAACACCTGAGCATCTAACACCTCACACACTCAACACCTGAGCATCTAACACACTCAACATTGTAACAAGACACAGACGGAGTAAAGATGGAGTAAGACAATGTTCGTCGCCTCGCAGCCTTAATACACTATATTTCATCCCAAAAACTCTATATATATATCATCTAGCACATGAATGTTGTATTATAATAAATACATCTGTCACTCACCTCTGTTAGAGAGGAGAAACAGCACAACAAGTGGTGGCCAGAGAGACTTTCTTCATCGTGTTGTTATTTTAAAGGCCGCTGAGAGGTTGTGCCGTATCGTGCAGCACCAGTATCCTGCTGCCCAGCACCAGTATCCTGCTGCCCAGCACAAGTATCCTGCTGCACAGCACCAGTATCCTGCTGCCCAGCACAAGTATCCTGCTGCCCAGCACCAGTATCCTGCTGCCCAGCTCCAGTATCCTGCAGCCCAGCATCAGTATCCTGCTGTCCTGCACCAGTATCCTGCTGCACAGCACCAGTATCCTGCTGCCCAGCACCAGTATCCTGCTGCCCAGCACCAGTATCCTGCTGCCCAGCACCAGTATCCTGCTGCCCAGCACCAGTATCCTGCTGCCCAGCACCAGTATCCTGCTGCCCAGCACCAGTATCCTGCTGCCAAGCACCAGTATCCTGCTGCCCAGCACCAGTATCCTGCTGCCCAGCACCAGTATCCTCCTGCCCAGCACCAGTATCCTGCTGACTAGCACCAGTATCCTGCTGCCCAGCACCAGTATCCTGCTGCCCAGCACCAGCATCCTCCTGCCCAGCACCAGTATCCTGCTGTCATGCACCAGTATCCTGCTGCCCAGCACCAGTATCCTTCTGTCCTGCACCAGTATCCTGCTGCCCAGCACCAGTATCCTGCTGCCCAGCACCAGTATACTGCTGCCCAGCACCAGTATCCTGCTGCCCAGCACCAGTATCCTCCTGCCCAGCACCAGTATCCTCCTGCCCAGCACCAGTATCCTGCTGACCAGCACCAGTATCCTGCTGCCCAGCACCAGTATCCTGCTGCCCAGCACCAGTATCCTCCTGCCCAGCACCAGTATCCTGCTGTCCTGCACCAGTATCCTGCTGCCCAGCACCAGTATCCTGCTGTCCTGCACCAGTATCCTGCTGCCCAGCACCAGTATCCTGCTGCCCAGCACCAGTATCCTGCTGCCAAGCACCAGTATCCTGCTGCCCAGCACCAGTATCCTGCTGCCCAGCACCAGTATCCTCCTGCCCAGCACCAGTATCCTCCTGCCCAGCACCAGTATCCTGCTGACCAGCACCAGTATCCTGCTGCCCAGCACCAGTATCCTGCTGCCCAGCAACAGTATCCTGCTGCCCAGCACCAGTATCCTGCTAACTAGCACCAGTATCTTGCTGCTCAGCACCAGTATCCTGCTGTCCAGCACCAGTATCCTGCTGCCCAGCACCAGTATCCTGCTGCCCAGCACCAGTATCCTGCTGCCCAGCACCAGTATCCTGCTGCTCAGCACCAGTATCCTGCTGTCCTGCACCAGTATCCTGCTGCCCAGCACCAGTATCCTGCTGCCCAGCACCAGTATCCTGCAACCCAGCACCAGTATCCTGCAGCCCAGCACCAGTATCCTGCTGCCCAGAACCAGTATCCTGCTGACCAGCACCAGTATCCTGCTTCCTAGCACCAGTATCCTGCTGTCTAGCACCAGTATCCTGCTGCCCAGCACCAGTATCCTGCAGCCCAGCACCAGTATCCAGCTGCCTAGCACCAGTATCCTGCTGCCCAACACCAGTATCCTGCTGCCTAGCACCAGTATCCTGCTGCCCAGCACCAGTATCCTGCTGCCTAGCACCAGTATCCTGCTGCCTAGCACCAGTATCCTGCAGCCCAGCACCAGTATCCTGCTCCCCAGCACCAGTATCCTGCTGCCTAGCACCAGTATCCTGCTGCACAGCACCAGTATCCTGCAGCCGAGCACCAGTATCCTGCAGCCCAGCACCAGTATCCTGCAACCCAGCATCAGTATCCTGCAGCCCAGCACCAGTATCCTGCTGCCCAGCACCAGCATCCTGCTGCCTAGCACCAGTATCCTGCTGCCTAGCACCAGTATCCTGCAGCCCAGCGCCAGTATCCTGCAGCCCAGCACCAGTATCCTGCAGCCCAGCACCAGTATCCTGCAGCCCAGCACCATTATCCTGCAGCACAGCACCAGTATCCTGCTGCCTAGCACCAATATCCTGCAGCCCAGCACCAGTATCCTGCAGCCCATCACCAGTATCCTGCTGCCCAGCACCAGTATCCTGCTGCCTAGCATCAGTATCCTGCAGCCCAGCACCAGTATCCTGCAGCCCAGCACCAGTATCCTGCTGCCCAGCACCAGTATCCTTCAGCCCATCACCAGTATCCTGCTGCCCAGCACCAGTATCCTGCTGCCCAGCACCAGTATCCTGCTGCCTAGCACCAGTATCCTGCAGCTGAGCACCAGTATCCTGCAGCCCAGCACCAGTATCCTGCTGCCCAGCACCAGTATCCTGCTGCCTAGCACCAGTATCCTGCAGCTAAGCACAAGTATCCTGTAGCCCAGCACCAGTATCCTGCTGCCCAGCACCAGTATCCTGCTGCCCTGCACCAGTATCCTGCTGCCCAGCACCAGTATCCTGCTGCCTAGCACCAGTATCCTGCTGCCCAGCACCAGTATCCTGCAGCCCAGCACCAGTATCCTGCTGCCCTGCACCAGTATCCTGCTGCCCAGCACCAGTATCCTGCAGCCCAGCACCAGTATCCTGCTGCCCAGCACCAGTATCCTGCTGCCTAGCACCAGTATCCTGCAGCCTAGCACCAGTATCCTGCAGCCCAGCACCAGTATCCTGCAGCCCAGCACCAGTATCCTTCTTCCTAGCACCAGTATCCTGCAGCCCAGCACCAGTATCCTGCTGCCCAGCACCAGTATCCTGCTGCCCAGCACCAGTATCCTGCTGCCCAGCACCAGTATCCTGCTGCCCAGCACCAGTATCCTGCAGCCCAGCACCAGTATCCTGCTGCCCAGCACTGGCTGGCACTGTAGTGCCAGCCAGTTTCCTCTGAATCACCTGACTGATGAACCATTCCGACTTACCCCAATCATGTAAATCTTTTAGACTATTCGTCAAACTCATAACTTCGATTCGGAACTTCTCTAGGCTCTGACGGTCATGGCGACATGCCTCTAGATCCAACAACCGATTAAGTATAGGTACCTTTATCTCCTCAGTGTTGCCAAACGTGTCCTTTAATCGGTCTTTGGCATGTTGGTAATCGGTGTCGGTGGTTTGGTAATGCCGGACCAATGTGAACGTAAATATTGTAATTTGACGGCATCTGACAAATTGTCTCTGTTATCTATCTGGGCTTTAAACTGATCCCAGAAAGCAATGTACTCTGTTAAGGTTCCGTCGAACGTTGGTAAATTCAACTGGGGCAATCTGGGCAACACATTAACAGGCGTGCTGTTGTTCGTGTTCCTTGAAACATTTGCTCCCCCTGCTGTACCAGCCTTCAAAGTCTTTATTAACTGCCTGCAGAGTCTCATCTCTGCTTTACACTCTGCCCTTCGTTCGTCATAGTCCGTCCGTGCTACTTCGACTGTATGTTCAGACTCACCTGTAGTATAGGCCTCTGTCTCATAAAGGATAAATGATCTCTCAATGGCCTCCAGTCTTTGCTCCAAAGGTTTCAGGCAACTCTCTAGTTCCTCCCAGTCTACATCTTGATCTTGCCTGACCGTACAACACTCCTCACATGCTTTGTTCAAGCGCCCCTTATAGGCTCCCATAGACCGTGTGGAAATTTATTTGGTCCAAATGGTTCCACAGCTCAGATCCAGCATGGCCGTCGGGTCATCTGAGCCGGACGGCCCTTAAACCCTCCCAAACAAGCAAGGCATTCTCTGGTTGGCGGTTGTTGGTAAGCTTATTTAATTTATAGATTTACTCTTCAGGAAGGAGTAGGTAGTTTTACGGGTAGTACACTAATATTAGGTTTACTAAGGCATCTGTAGATAATGATAGAGTAGACCTAAGACCTTAACATAGGTAGAAATAGGCCGATAATGTAGGCAAACACTAGGATAAGTTAGCTAGGGAGAACTGGCAGCCCTAGCTTGAATGGCGGGGCGCAGGTCACAAAGACAGAATAGCGTCCTTCTTACGATAGACATCGACTGGACAAGACGTGCCGTGAACAGCAGGCGGCGCCCTCACGTGTCTTCACATCTGAGACCTGGGGAAATCTGGTAGAGGCACCTCGATGTACCGTAGATGATCTCCTCCATCAGCCCATATAGTAAGACGAGATATTCACCTTTTCCCGTAGGTTCTGGCCAGAGTCTTAGGAGATTGTGGGTCGAGTTAACTGAGGGCTCGGTGTGCTACAGAGAGAGCATGCCCAGTAAGTACCAGTGTCTCAGAGGCGTCTGAAGCAAGTGTCTGAGTCTGCATAGTTATACTAGGGGATACATACCCTCTTGGATATAGGAATTTCTGAGGTGCAGGCAGGACACTAATAACGATTGAATATTGCAGGAATTAATGCTCCCGGTTGCACGTGGTTTCCAAGGGGAAGTGCAAAGGGGATAAAGCTAGGCTTAGGAAGTTGATAGAAACACAGGCCTTATCTCAAGGCTTTATTGAACATAGAATCTTCATAGTACTTCTGCAACAACAAACTATAATGACTAGTACATCTAATAATGGCTTCTACAGGGATGGTGATGTCTTGCATATGTCAAGAGAAAAGTTATAACTACAGGCCACATATTTAAACTCACCATGTAATCTGCATCGCTGATAAATGGATAAAGTAGGAGAGAATCACACACCATGTGTTGGTGCCCATGACGCACACCAAACTGTTGTTGTTGTTAAGGGCCCCTAGATGTGGTGCAGTATTATCCTGCTGCTGCTCCCCACAGGACCAGTATCACTACAATCTCCCCATTCTAAAATATCAGAGACATAATCTGTTGAAAGAGGATCCCCCCTCCATAAGGACTTCAGGAAACAACACCCGCTCTGGGGTTACTTCCCTCAGTATTGTTAGCATATTTACTCTCTTTTCACAACTTTAGCTCCCTTGATTTCTACTTTCTTTGCCAGATGGAACAGATTGTTGAATTTTCGAACTTTGCATACTACCTGCAAGCTCGGCTAAACGTAACACCACTTTCATATTTTTTCTACAATCTGTGTTCTTGAATTCTATCATGTTTCCCTCCCTTCTTTTCCAAAGGCTGGCACTTGGAACTTCTTTGAGCCCATGGTTGCTTATAT